AATGAACAATTTGAAGTTTAACAATTCTTTTAGTTCTATGTCTATTTTCTTCTGTTAAAGTTGAGAAAAAAAATTTTTTTAGCTAAAAGTGATAGCATTCATAAGAACACATATTGAAGGAGTATGTAAGGCTGAGCACAGTGGCTTATGCCTGTAATCCCAGCACTCTGGGAAGCCGAGGAGGGTGGATTGCCTGAGCTCACGGGTTCAAGACTGGCCTGAGCAAGAGCCAGACCCTGTCTCTAAAAATAGTTGGATGTTGTGGCGGGTGCCTGTAGTCCCAGCTACTTGGGAGGCTGAGGCAGGAGAATCACTTGAGCCCAGGAGTTTGAGGTTGCTGTGAGCTATGATGCTCTGACACTCTACCAAGGGTGGACAAAGAAAAAAAAAAAAAAGAGTATCTAATGCTCAGTGAAAAACATACTTGAAATGATTTTTATCTACTATGATTAAAGCCTTTAATGAAGTATAATATACAAATGAGAAAATTCACCTGTTATTAGCTTACAAGTTAAATATTTTTAGTAAATTTACAAAGGTGTTCAGTCATCTCTATAATCCAATTTTAGAACTTTTCCATCACCTGATAAAGAACCCGTGCATAAATTTACAATTTCTATTCCCACCCCAGTCCCAGCAACCACTAATTTACTTTCTGAATCTACAGAATGTAAACCTCTGTTTCTGAACATTCCATATAAATAGAATCATACCATATATGGTCTTCACATCTGGCTTCTTTCCTTTAGCATACTGAACCTCATCCATATTGTAGCATGTGTCAGTAATTTGTTCCTTTTCATTGCTGAGTATAATTCCATGCATGTAACAAAGCATGGACTGAATTATGTGCCTCTGTCTCCCCACATCAAATTCATATACTTTAGCACTAACCCCTAGTACCTTAGAATATGACTATATTTGGAAATAGCACCTTTAAAGGGGAAATTATGTTGAAATGAGCCCTCTTAGGATAACTCCTGACCCAATTTGACCGGTGTCTTTATAAGAAGAGATTAGGACATATGAGAGACAAGTGAGAAGGCCACCATTTGTAAGCCAAGGACAGAAACTTCAAGAGAAAATAAATCTGCTGACACCTTGATCTTGGACTTTCACCTTCTAAAACTGTGAGAAATAAATTTCTGTAGTTTCAGGGGTGTCCAGCCTGTAGCCCACAGGCCACATGCTGATTTTGTGAGGACTTTTTTCTATTAAACTGTGATGTCATGAAAAGTTTGCACTGGCTTTTTTTTTTCTAATCAGCTTTCCTTAGTGTTTGTGTATTTAATATGTGGTCCAAGACAACTCTTATTCTTCCTGTGTGTGGCAGAGAAAAAGAAAGGTTGGACACCCCTGATTTAAGTCACCCAGTCTGTGGTGTTTTGTTATGGTAAATAAATGCACCATTCCAATGACTGTGAAGTGATATCTCAGTATGGTTTTAATTTGCATTTCTCTAATGATGTAGATCTTTTCAGGTGCTTATTAGCAATTTTGTGTCTACTTTGATGAAGTCTCTATTCAAATCTTGCTCATTAAAGAAAATTGGGTTGTCTTGTTGAAGTGTAAACTTTATATATTCTGGTTAGAAGTACTTTATCAGAAATATGATTAGCAAATATATTCTCTAAGATTATGGCTTGCATTTCCATCTTCTTAAAGGTGTTCTTTGAAGTACAAAGCTTTTTAATTTTGACAAAGTCCTATTTATACTTTTTTTTCTCTTAAAGATTATGGTCTTGGTGTCATAGCACCAAGGACAAAAAGATGTTTTTATATCTATTTGTCTAAATGTTTTACAGTTTTAGCTCTTACATTTAGGTCTATCATAATTTTGAGTTTTTTTGTGTGTTGAATCTAAATCCAATTTTTTTTTGCATATGACTTAACAAATGGTCCACCACCATTTATAGTAAAGACTATTTTCTCCCTATTGAATTGCCTTAGCAGCTTTGTAAAAAAAATAGTTTACCCATAAATATAAGAGTTTATTTCTAAATTTTCAATCCTACCACATTGATCAATAGTTCTAATCTTATGTCAGTACCATACTGTCTTGATTATTGATGCTTTATAGTACCTTTTGAAATAGAGAGGCATTTAAGTCTTCCAATTTTATTTTTTAAGATATTTCAAGGTTGTTTTATCTATTTTGGGAACCAAGCTTGCTTACCTGGAATAAATCCCACTTGTTCAAGGTATATAATTATATTTATTAAAAGGTTTGCTAATACTCTGCTAAGGATTTTTACATCTAAGTTCAGGAGAGATGTCTATTTAGAGTTTCTTTTTGTTGTAATGTGTTTTTTAGGCTTTGTATTGGCCTTCTAAATGAGTTAGGAAATATTTACTCCTCTTCTATTTTCTAGAAGAAATTTTATAAACTTGGTGTTAATTCCCCATTAATAGTTTAGTGGAATTCTTCAGTGAGACTTTCAGTGAACCTGGAGGTTCTATTTTGGAGAGCTTTTTAATTAAAAATTAAATCTCCTTCATAGTAATAAGGCTATTCAGATTGTCTATTTCATCTTAGTTGAAGTTTTGTAGTTTTGGGTTCTCATGGAATTGTTCCATTTCTTCCAAGTTGTCAAATTTATGAGCATAAAGTTGTATGGGGAGTTCCCTTATTATATTTTTAATGTTGCAGTATTTGGGTTAATTCCTCTTATTTTATTTCTCATATTGGTGATTTTTCTTCTAGTCTGTCAATCTTGCTAGAGGTTTATTTTATTGTAATTATTTGAAGAACCAGCTTTTGTTTCATTATTCTTTTTGGCAATATTTTCCTATTTTCCACTTTACTGACTTCTTTTCTTTATTATTTCATTTCTCCTGCTTGTTTTGGGTTTATTTTGCCCTTCAAGTTAGTTCCTTGAATTACTGAACTTTCCTCTTTTTTTTTTTTTTTTGAGCTAGGGTCTCTCTTTGTTGCTGAGGTTAAAGTGCAGTAGTGTCATCACAGCTCCTCAAGTAGTCCTCCTTCCTCAGCCTCCTGAGTAGCTGAGACTATAGCTGTGTGCTACCACGCTTGGGTAATTTTTAAAATTTTTGTAGAGATAGAGGTCTTTCTATGTTGTTCAGGCTGGTCTCAGCCTCCTAAGGCATTAGGACTATAGGTACAAACCACTACATCCAGCCCTTCCTCATTTTTAATGAATTTAGTACTATAAATTTCTGTATTAATGCTGCTTTACCTATATCCCACATGCTTTGATATATTTTCATTTATATTTAGTTCTGTGTTGCCTTTTAATTTCCTTTGAGACTCCCTCTTTGACCTATAAATTATTTAGAAGTGTATTGTTTAGTTTTCAAGCATTTTAAGAATTTCAAGCATTTAAGAATTCCTGTTGTCTTTGTTAGAGATTTTCAGTTTAATTCCATTATGGTTAGAAATCATGCTCTGTATAATTTGAATTCTTTTACCCTTCTTGAGGTTTGTTTTATGGTATGTTTTATGGTCACCCCACCTTCATTTGGTGAATGGTCCATGGGAAATTGAGAAAAATATATTGTTAGGTCTATTAGGTGGCATATTCTTAAAATGCTAATAAGATCTTGATTGATTGTGTTTGGGTCTTCCACATTCTTATGATTTTTTTGTCTCATAGTTTTATTAGTTGCCTGGGATGGTGATGGTGTTGAAATGCCCAACAATAAATGTAGAGGCTTCTGTTATTTCAGCTTTATTAGTTTTTGCTTCATGTATTTGAGACCCTGGAGTTTAGTTTGGACACATTTAGTATGTTATGTCTTCCTAGTGAATTGATTCTTTTGTCATTATATAATATCCCTCTTTGTCTCTAGTAGTTTGCTTTAGAGTCTACTTTATTCAAACATTACTAATTGCTACTCTTGCTTTTTAAAAAAATCATTATTAATTTGTACATGGTATATGTTCTTCTCCTTTTTATTTTCAACTTAGCTGTGTTTATAAATTGGGCACATAGAATACCGCTGAAGAACACACACACCCCTCCACTCAGGCCAGCTCCTTCCAATATGCTCATGGTAGTTCTCTACATCAATCACAAATGGATTCATGAAGTCTCCAAAGGGGCTGCAGAAAATGAGAGTGTAGTAGAGCTTATCATAGGGAGGGCACACATGGCCCTTTCTTTCTGGGGCTTCCTAAGTGGCAAGACCTGCCTGCATGCCACTGTTGGGAATCTCAGCTGTAAAGGCTGAGTAGTGCCAGCAGAATGATAGCTCTGGAACTACCCACGTTGGCCTGGCTCTTCTCTGAACTTTAGTGGGGAAAAAGGTTTAACCCAATCAAATACACAAAATTAGAAAATCACATGTTTATTTGGGGTAGGATCCTCAGCCCAGAACACTATTTCTTATATATACTGTGTTGTTTCCAAGAAGCATTTAAAGTGATTTTAAACGAAAATATAAATTAAGAGCAAGAAGAAAACAAGGCACTATAAGGCTGGTGCAAAACTGCTTCCCTGTGAGTCTGAGTTTCTACACTTACAATAAATAGTCAATAAGAGGATACAAGGAGACAGTATTTCCTTTGTCATCTCTTGCTAGAACCACAGGAGTGCTCAGGACTGAGCCTGGGGGCAGCAGGATAAACTCCAAACATGGAGGGATCCTTAAGATATGAATAAAGGGAGACAAGTTCCCAGTGGAATTTCCTATAATATTCCATAGATTCTCAACATGTTTTATTTCTTCTCAAAGATTCCCAAGTTCTCACTTTGAAAATGGCCACAGTCCTGGGCAGTGTAGCCTCCTTTAAAGACTCAGGCTGCTTAAGTTTCTGAGGGATTACATCCCAATTAGAGTCTATTATTAGTCCGAGACTATATAAATACACAGAATATACAAACCGAAGCTAAAATGACAGTCATTAACTCCTTAAACTTCTGTTTTAAAAATTCTTCAACTTGATTCTCAGAATCTAAAGGAAAACTGTTAGATATAGACTTGCAGGTGCCTTCCAAGTCAACTGGAAGTCTAGGTGATGCTGATGATATGTGGTTGCGGAGAATTAGTCGTAGATGCTGTGCTGTGCCTGGTGACTAAATGACCACACTCCTTCCACTATGGGAGCTGTCTCTCTCCTGGAGAAATAGAAGAGCACAAAAAAATCCAGTCAGCCAGAATCTACCATCTATGCATACAATACATAAGGTGTGCTTGATTAACAAACCTTGAGACAAATTTGATCCTAAAAAATATTCATGGGGCAGTGCCTGTGGCTCAAAGGAGTAGGGCGCTGGCCCCATATGCCAGAGGTGGCAGGTTCGAGCCCAGCCC